GGTCACAGCTACTTGGGAGGCCGAGGTGGGAGGATCACTTGAGCCCAGGAGGGGTAGGTTGCAGTAAACTGTGATCACACCACTGCACTCTAGCCTGGTGACAAAGTAAGACACCATCTCAAACAAAACAAAACAAAACAAAGCAAAACTAGATCAGAATAGCTAAAGGACAATAAAAGAATACATTTTAAATCCTGAAGAAAAACATTTTCAATTTAACACTCTTTACCTAGTCGAACTAGGAATTGTGTATAGAATCAAGATATTCTGAAAGGTGGAAATTTCCATTTCCACATGCATGCTTTCTTAGAAAACCACAAGAGGCTTTGTGTGCCCCCAGTGGAAGCAAGGCAAGACAGAGGACACTGGACATGGGAAGCAGAGGATCCAACCCAGGAAAGAAAGGAAGAGAATCTTCCGGGTGATGGTGCAGGAGAGCCCACTCGGCCAGCTGTGCGCAGGCCACCACGCCAGAGGCTCCCAGAGAGGCCAGTCATGAGGATGATTCTGACAGAATACCCGAAGTCTTTCAGCTTCTTGACAGGAGACTTAAATAACTGGGGTTAAATTAGTGACTGAATAGCTGGAGAAATATGAAACGAAAAAAGAGAATTACTAACACTAGGGCAAAAAAGAAATTGGGCAGCAAAAGGAAAAGCACTCATAGTCTACTCAGTGGGTCAGTTGTAAGTGGCATGTACAGTGTCTTAGGTCAACACTGGCTGCTGATCTAACCCAAATCACCTGAAGACGACACAGCTGCCCCCTGACTCTACAATGAGGTTACGTCCTCATAAACCCACCCTAGTGGAAAGTATCCAAAGTCAAAAATCCATTCAATACCCCAGCCTACCAAACATCATAGCTGAGCCTAGCCTACCTTAAACGTGCTCAGAACACTTAGGTTAGCTTACAGCTGGCAGAATCACCTGGCAGCACAGCACGCTGGAGAGGATGGGTGGTTTGCGCTGGTGATGGCGTGGGTGACTGAGAGCTGACCAGCATCATGAAAAAATATCTACCGCGTATCACTAGCACAGGAAAAGAACAAAATTCAAAATTCAAAGTATGATATCTACTGAATGCATACTGCTTTTACAACATCTGTAAAGCTGAAAAATCCTAAGTTGAACCATCATAAGTGGGGACCTATACTGGGAGACAGGAAGAGGGTATGTATAATTGGAGGCGGGGAAGAGGGCATCCCAGCAAAAGCCTCACCTTTCAGAGTAGAAAGGCAACGGATAATGTCTACCACTGGGTGGGTGAGGGAACACCAAAAAACAGCATGATAAACATGTTGTTTAGAGCTCTAAGAGATGAAGATAGTCAGAGAAACGTACATTTCTGCCTGTAGGACCGAATCTTTAAAATATGGGCATAATGTGGAGCACAGTGGTTCATGCTTATAATCCCAGCACCTTAGGAGGCCAAGGTGGGAGGATTGCTTGAGTCTAGGAATTTCAGACCAGCCTGGGCAACACAGAGAGACCCTGTCCTTAGAAAAAAAATTAAAAATTATCCAACTGTGGTGGTGCATGCCTGTGGTTTCAGCTACTCAGGA